GACCTTTTATTTTGCACGTAAATGCTTCTAATATTGATCTTGGAGGTGTGTTAATGCAAGAGAGCCCGAGTGTGCCTGGTCAGTGCCATCCCATAACATATATAAGTTATACATTACAACCAGTGGAGGTGAACTACTCCACGACAGAGGAGTGTTTAGCAAGAGTCTAGGGTTTTAAAAAACTTCATGCATATCTACATGGTTCTCGGACATTATTTAAAAGTAATCATATTGCTATTATTTCATTATTGAAGCGAAAGAACTTAGTTGATCATACTACTTGGTGGGCTTTGAAGCATCAGATATATAATTTTAATGTTGTTCATCGCTTAGGGAGTTTTATGGTTGATGCTAATGCCCTTTCTCAAGCTCCTCTTCCTTTTACATTGTCTTTTTATGTTTCTGACAAGTCTATTGTTCTAGCATCTGTGAATTTTCTAGACAAGGATTTTGTGCTGTTGGCATTTACTGTACTTGACGTTTAGTGTTTATAAGGTGCAAAGAAAAATCTACCTTCTCTTGATGAGGTGCTCAAGGCTTAAAAGATTGAGCCATGAATTCGAAGGCCTCGAGATGGGTTTGAGAATCTTACATCAAGTACTAATGACTTGTCATTCTAACATTTATATTCTCAATATCGCTTTAAAAATGGCCTTCTTTATTTTGTTGGGATGGATCCTAATGATCCTTTACGGCTGGTGGTGCCTTCCATCTTTATTTCATGGTTTCTCCATACCTACCATAATTTTCCTATTCTAGAGGGGTATATAAAACATTATCGTGTGACCAATAAACTATGCAAGTTTCTTTATTAGCTAAAGATGCAATGTGATGTTATCTGGTATATACGTAGTTGTGTTTAGTGCTAAACTCATAATACTCCCGCGAAAAAACAGTTGAAGTCAATTGCAATTTCCCATCCATTTGAGTTGGTGGTGTTTGATCTTATAGGACCTTTTCCATGATCTACTATTGGCAATGAATATGTTATTACTACTTCTGATTATTTGACTCATTGGGTGGAAGTTGGTGCTTTTGTTAGCGCCTCTACAACTACTGTTAGATAGTTTTTCCTCAATTGAGTGGTGTTCTAGTATTGTTGTTCAAAATGGATTCTTTTGGATAATGGTCCCACATTTATGACTGAGGCATTTCATGTTTTGATGTCTCAATTGAAAATATGCCACACTTTAATGAGTGCTTATCATCCACAGTCAAACGATTTGTTGGAATGGCTCATTGGATATTCAAAGGAATAATCGCAAAATACATGAATTTTTAGCATTTATATTGGGATGGTTATTTGCTGTCTCTTCAATATGCATATGTCACAGGGGTGCAGAGTTCTATTGGTGCTTCATTATATAAACTTCTATATGATCATGATCTAATATTACCAACGGAGCTAGGTTTATCTTCGCGATTGCCATGAGCTGCTAATGCTAGGTCATGGGATCAGTATTTAACGAGTATTCTTCCACTTGTCTAAGCAAAGCCTATTGAACATTTAGGCCACATACAAGTGGGACAACAACGGTGCTACAACTCCCATCATCGTTCACATGTGGAGTACAAAGTGGATGACTTGGTATTAGTTTGTTTTCCCCATCTTATGGTATGTGGTTTATCTAAAGGGCTATTTGCTCAATGGAAAGGACTGTATCGGGTGTTGCGGCAAGTTGGACCATAAGTTTATGAGGTTTGGCATGACGTCTAGCAAGCCAATCCTTCAAAAATTGTGAATGTGCAACAGTTGAAATGCTTCATATAAAGAGATTAGAAATAACTGCTACTACCTATAGATCCACTAATGCCTCCTGTTGACGTTCTTCTAAAAGGGGATGATGTGAAGTTTAAGTGTATGGTTATGATGCCGTATACTAATATTAGCATAGTGGCATTTTAGTAGCTGTCGAATTAGTTTCAATCCAGACCATTCACTCCTATATATAAGCTAAAGTTTTTGGGCTAATTGGGATAAATTAATGTTGAATACCAAGGGTGTATTTTTTATTTCCTCAGTATATTTAGCGGTAAAAGGAAACTTCAAAGGCAATTATTCCCTTTTTAAAGTTTAAAGGTTAAATTAAATCTCAATGATTTAAATTATAAAAATGTTAATAACTTTTGAAGGGGTTTTATGACATTCAATTATTCACTGAATTTACAATGTTTGAATTTTGGTAAAGGTTGGCAACAACCTCAAATAGAATTGGCTGAAAACTAAAAATCCCATACTAGAAGGTTTCTAGAAGGATACATGTTTTTTGCAGCGCCCAATACCACAGGGTGGGTATTTATAATTACCTACCTACTCCTCACTCCCTAGCACCTTGAAGCTCTAAAGTCCTTGGCAAGAGTTGCTCTCAATGCATCCTCAAGATATACCAGCCATGATGTCAATGTTGGATAGGCTAACAAGGAATAATAGTGAACTGCTTTCATAGGCGGTTGTATGTCATACAATCAAGAGCATGTGACTTAGGCAGTGTTACAGACTTTGCAATGACAGAGATGACGAGGGAGTCAATTTCAACATGAAGCTAGTGATTACCACACCAAACTTGTAACATGCTTATGGCGAGGCATGATGATAAACATGCGGATCCATGCCAAGAGGATTAAACAGTTTTTCACTTTTTGGCATATTTGACAGATCCAACTGTTCTAGACAGCAGTTAGTGTTTGAAAGCTTGTGCCATCCACCAGCTGTAATTGTCTAGTGGGCTTTCAAGCACGGACTCAAGATCCAGGCCTACCTTTGCTATGAGATCTGTCCATCAGCCTCCATTACGCTCGTACATAAGACCAATGGAGTTGTCAATGGAGCTTAGTCTGAATGTTGTTGAGATGCCACTATGTCTTCGCATAATTGATTGTATGTTTCCATGCAAGGAGCTCCAAAGGCCATAATTCTGATTCGAACAGGATAATTGGATATGACACATCTGCTGTGTGGAGCTCTGCGCAAATGAAGTGGTATTGGAGCTCTTCAACTTGACATCCATCATACCCAGCTGTGACCTCTTCTGTGTACAAGGGGACAGTGAATACTTTGGCACTACAGTTTGTGGCACAATCCAACTAGAGTGCAATGTAGGCACTGCCTACAATCACCGTTCCAGGGATTGATTTCGTGAATTATCCCGAGTATTTGTATTTGTCCACTTCTTCGACTCAGACTCCAAGGTAATAGCATGTGTTGTCCTCCATTGGCCAGCAGATTGTGTCTCTGTTAGATTAACTTCCATACATGTGGCCTCACAGAATTCACTTGGTGCATCCAGTGTTGAGGGTGCCACACATTGTGTCATCTACATAGCAACACATACAAACAAGAGTTGATATGACGCCAGTGTGTTTCCTAGGATCATGGCTTCTAGTGCATCAATGTATATTGCAAAGAGCTTAAGAGACAGAGGACAGCCTGCATCATCCGATATAGAGCTCAAGTACCACCCATAATGAGAGGAGTAAGCACCTGGATCTCAACGAGCTTTTGGATCTCAACGAGCTTTTGATAAGCAAGTCTCGTGGCATGTGATCAAAGCCTTGGCTAAATCCATATATCCGAGGTTGGTTACGCTTGTAACACATGCGTACAAGCAGGACTTGGAGCATGAGTAGCTGATCCATACATGAATAGTGCTGGTGAAAGCCTGCCTGTCCATGAGCATCCAATCATGAATTTCCACTCAATCGGAGTGTTGTTTTTCTACTATTCAGGAAAGAGCTTTGGAAAATAACCAATGTCCAATAGTTTGCCACATTGGCAGGATCCCCTGCTTTATACAAGGTGATGATTCTATTAGTTATCCAGGTCTAAAACCTTTCACTTTTGATTAGATAATGGGGGTGATAGAGGCCATCCGCCGGGGGCCCATGGCATGAAGCATCTCAACTGTAAAGCCATGCTGGTCTAGTGCCTTCTATGTATATGAATATAGTCTGCTCAGCTTGTTAAGGGGAGATGCCAGGCAAACCATCCCACTCCACCTCTAGGCTTTGAGTATAAGTGTGGAGATGTGCTTCCCAGTCCTCTAGCTTCGTTGTCTAGAGTCTCATGGCCACCTCTCGAAAAATTCAGTATGCTTTCAGTATTCAGTATTCAGTTCTCTCCTTTACGCTGAGAATTCGTCTTCACAGTGGCTTGCGAGCCAGGAAGAAGTACATTGGAGTGAAGATCTCCTTCTCCAAACATTTTAGAAAAATTAAATACGCTGATATAATTTATAATTCCCTTATAGCTTTAGATTTGTTAGATTTGTTTATATATATATATATATATATATATATATTGTATTTATTTATTTAAAGATTCACATATATGTACACATATGATATTTGCTAGTCCAATTTTGAACATAGTTGTTGTATTGCCCAAAGCCTTTAAAGCAAAAACTTTACAGCTTTTTTTTTTTTTTCGATTTTGTACATAACAAAATTCACCTATATATTTATACTACATGTATTTAAACTCATCTATAATATCAATCTAGTTATTAAGGATGAATAATTTTACTAATTTTCTTTATATTGTTTTTCTTAGCTATTTATGCATTGTCGAAGCTAAAAAATGTGGGCAATCTTGCAAGACCCATGACGATTGTAACAGAAGGATTGCATGTATGAACCATATATGTGATGATGATCCAGATTTACACACTCATATTTGTGGTGGTACACGAAAAAATGGACCACCTAGCACAGAAAGCCCAAATGTGCCAGAATTTTTTCCAGAATTTCCCCCTACGCATCCTCCTCCCCCTCCATCTTATAAAATGTATCCTCCACCTTCACCCTAGATGAGTGAATTTCTTTTTAATAAGCTATAAATCTAATAAATAAATAAACTGTGTAATTTATATTTACCTTAAGAATAAATTGAAAATAAATAGGCAAGAAAATCAAGAATTTACACTGAATAATTTTGTATTAATCATTAGAAATTAAAGCAGATGGAGATATCCTAACTCCAAATCAGATGGGTTCTAATAACCTTTAAAAACAGTTATCTCAATTGATCTATTAGGACTTTAAACAAATTTTTTATTTAAACAGGATTTTCTATTGTTGTACCACCTTGCGCATGAACTGACGATGTCCTGGTTTCCAAGAGATAACGATAACAAGCGAGAGGGCTCTACAGTTGATTGAGGGGAAATCGTACTTATTCCTTGACGGAGAAAAGAGCTACTAAAAGCTACGATTGTGCTTATACACACACAAGAGAGAGTTCCACCAAGTAAATCCACCCTCACCTCACGATCTTTGGAAGAAACCTTGGGTCTCAACTTTTTCTTTCTTAGTGGAAAGGAATGGCACGAATGACGAACTGGTGGTAGAAGGCTGCAAGGGCTGCTCCAATCAGAGGACCGACCCAGAAGATCCACTGCTTACACACAGACGATGCACCAACAAGTTAGAACTTAAAAGAAGAGCGAAAAATTCAAAGAGTAAAGTGATCTTACATGATCATCCCAGGCCTGGTCGCCATTGTAGATGACAGCCGAGCCGAGACTTCGCGCTGGGTTGATGCCCGTGCCAGTGATGGGGATCGTGGCAAGGTGGACGAGGAACACCGCAAACCCGATTGGAAGTGGAGCCAAAAGCTGTAGAAATCGCCAAAGTTTGTGAGCTTGGAACATATCTTAAATCTATCCATGAGGAGGAGAAGAGATAAGGAGAAGATAAGAGGAAGTACAGCAAGAAAAACTAGGAAAACCACACAAGAAGATAAGAAGAAGAAAAGTAAAACTTCATGAGAGGGGGGAATCAACCAAAGCTTTGGATGGAAGGAGAAACGTACCGGGACATGGGAGTCTCTGGCACTTCTCTTGGCATCAGTGGCGGAGAAGACGGTGTAGACGAGAACGAAGGTACCAACAATCTCAGCTCCAAGACCATCTCCAATGGTGTAGCCGTGGTGGACATAGTTGGCTCCTCCTCCCGCGGCGTTAAACTTTGCCTTCTGGAAGCCTTTGACGACTCCAGCCCCGCAAATCGCCCCCAGGCACTGCGCAACCATGTAGAGCAGCGTTCGAGGCAGCGACACCTTCCGAGCCAGGAAGAGGCCGAAAGTCACCGCGGGATTGATGTGTCCACCTGAGAAAAACAAAACATGTCAAGCTTTTAGCTATGGTTTCCAGTCTCGCACGAAAACTTTCGCTGGAACACTAGAACTCGCGAAACTTTAGCTAGAACAGCACCAAAGTTTCGGGACAACACCACACCCGAGGTAAAGTTTCGCAAGAACACTTTAGCTCGAACACCAAAAAACTCATCTTGGTACCTGAGATTCCGGCAGTGCAGTAGACGAGAGCAAAGATCATGCCTCCAAAAGCCCACGCGATGCCCTGGATGCCCACTCCAAGGCAGCTGGTGCGATCGACATTTCCCACAACCGTGAGAATAGTGATGTAGAGAAAGAGGAAAGTGGCGAAGAACTCGGCTATGCCGGCGCGCCAGAAGGACCACGAGGAGAACTCGGACGGCTCGATGAGGCGCGTCGGGGGCGGCTCCACATAATCCTTCTCGGCCTGCGCCGAGGTTCCCAGCTCGCGCTCGGGGTACTTGGCCACACCAACATGGACGTCTTCCCTGTTACCCTCCATAGACGATGATCGATCCACCCAAGAGCTCTGGAGCAAGGAGAAAGAACTCTCGGACAAGCAAGAACTTCGAAGAGCTCCTCAAGACACCCGAGAGCTTAGAAGCGTCTGGAGAAAAGAAGAGAGATAAGGAAAGATACTGGTCGTAATCCTACTTACGCAAAGCAAAGCAAAGCGTCTTTCTTTTAACGTAGAGGGAGAGGTCCCACTGTCCTATAGTGTTTCTTCCACAGTGTCTACTCCTCCATAGCCAAAAGCTCTCTTTTCTTTCTCTTTGCTTGGATGATCGTCTTGATGATAGCTCTCGCTACTTTTTCTTCTAGAGGACCACTAACTTTGCTTGGTACCACTAGAACTGGCCGAAAGGGAAATCTTATATACAAACCCAAAGTGGGGGGACCAAGGAAGGCCAAGCACACCGTCTTTCTACTGTTTTTAGCTTGTTCTCTAGCGCGCGAAGAGAAAAAGAAAAAGGAAGAGAGGAAGCCACTACAGTGCTGGGTTTGGATCTATCCCTTTAGCCCTCTCGCCAGTAGCTCTGTAGAAGCCCAGAGCCATCAAAATCTCGCAATGGTCCACTCTCGCCGCCCCTCTCCTCCCATTCGTTAGACGGCCGTCTTTGTGTTTGGCATTTTAGCGTGATTACGCCCAAAAGCTTTAAATTCGAATCATAGAAACGAATATTCCACCACCCATCTCGACCGTTGCTGGCTAACGGCCCGCATTTCTCGACAAGATGGGTTCCAGCTGGCCCGCCACCGGCCGTACGATCACTCCCAAAATTTCCTGGGGGCGTCGCGTCATGAGAGGGAAATAAAATAAAAAAGTCACCGGGCCCCGCCACATGTCGCCATCGTGGCCCACTCGTACGTATATATCCGTTCAGCAAAATTGCAGCACGTGGCACAGCTGTGGCGCTCGCACCGTCCAACCAATGGCGAGCCTCCAGCGCTGCGAATATCCTATCCCACGGGCCTGGAAGATGCCAACCGCTGTTCAGCTGACCTCCTACTGTTATATATGTACAGTCTTGTCTTCTTCTTCTGTACACGCGCGGCGAGCGAGCAATGCGAATAATCCCAGCTTCGTCAGTTCTTCTCTCTCGGCTTCTTTGGCAAATCCGGTGGCCTCTTTGGAGGAGCGACGCTTCTGCTGGCCTGTCGAGATGATAGATCTGCGAGCTTAGAATCAGCGATGGATGGATCGCAAAAGAAAAAGAACAAGAAGCCATAGAAAACGAAGCGAACCTGGTCTCTTGGAGTCGAACAACGAGCCTGACAAGAGCGCAAGAACTTCTTCTCTGCCCTTCCTCTTGGTCTCATTCGCGTCGATGTGTTTCTTAGCTGGAGCCGATTGCTGCTGCTTTGATGAAGGAACGGGAGGCCTCTTGTCTTCGACTTTTTTCTGCCTCTGATCTTCAACACTTTGCCTGTCGCGATTCTGTTCACACCTTTCAGGCCGAGTTTCCAAAACCGTGCTATCTACGGCTCGCCGGTCATCTCTCTGTCTGTTATCCTGCAAAACTTTGGCACCCCCCTCCGACTGGTTAGCCGACAGCCGTCTACTGGTACTTCCATACTCTCGATTGTCCAAACTTGCAGAAGCTCTTGCTTTCTTGTGGAGTTCCTGCTTGCAAGTGTCTGGAGCTTCGTCCAAAATCTTGATACCTCTCGGAGGTTTCGCCACTTCTTCACCTCTCTTCTGTTTCTTCTTGTCCCTGAAGCTTCCAGCTTGCTCTCCTGGTCTTTTCCTAGGGGACGTACCACCACCACCTTGCACCATCGGGTCCACGTCTCTGGTAACATTCTGGTCGCCCCGACTGTTAAATGCTTTGCTGTATGGCTTTTGTATTGGGTACACCGCCCCCCTTGACGTAGCATCTTCGAGTAGAGCAGCCCAAGCCCGATTGCTTCGAAGGGCCCTGGCACTACCGATTATCCACAAGGAGAACCTCGGACGAGTTAGCGCCACGTTCATCCGCCGGATATCCGCTACAAAGCCGATGCCTTTTGGTTCCAAAGAGGCCCGCACGGTAGAGAGAATGAGAATATCCACCTCCCGACCTTGAAAGCCATCGATGGTGTTGAACTCCAAAATCGATGAAATTTTCTCGCCGAAACGTTGGAAAGCCCGCTTCAGCATATTGAGCTGCTGCTTATAAGGAGTAATCACTCCTATGCGTCCAGGTTGGATCTCTTGAGGATACCTGCAGATCTCACTCATTATTTCTATCCATGCATGATACCACAAACGCAAATATACTTCGCTTGGAACCGTTCATAAAGCTTGACCGCGACGTCAACTTCGTCCACGTTTCCAACTGATGACCCGCCAGCCCTCTCCTGTCCATCGATGACGTCGAAGAAGGTGTATGGTCGAAAAAACCTGTGATAGGAAAACTTCAAGATGTGAAGAAGTTTAAATGTTTATCACCTATCCTTGTGAAAGCTTGAACGTCTCTTGTCCCCCAAAACGCTCGCTCCATCGACGAGCTGATTGTTATAAAAATACGAAGATGGAAACTTTCGAATGTCCGGATGCATTCGGTACTGTAAAGCATCCCAAATTTAAGAAAATGTTGCAACGAAACATACCATGCCGAATTTTACCTGTGTACTAAGCATCGTCACCGGATAGCCGTTCTTCTGGAAGCGTTCAAACATGCTGCGCTCGTAGCATACGCTGCTTGCCGCTTGTGATAAGACTGTTGCTGGAAGCTGCTTGGGATCTCCTACCTGATCATAAAACAAAAAAACTTGTTATTACAGGCAAGCAATGACAAAAACCAGTACCAGGACACATCTTCCGTGATTGCCTCCCAGAAACTGTAAGGGAATCAAACTTGCTGGTTCCAGCGCCTGTGTAAGAACAGAAAACACTTAGAGAACCCTGTCTGACTGCTTACTTTACCTGTCCAGCTTCGTCAATCACAACAGCATCGAAAAAGAGTTCAGTATCTTTTTCCGAGGTATCCATGCACGCAGCATATACATCTCCTCCACAGCCACCCAGTGTCGTCAACACAATGTCGGCGTCCCGGATGTTCTGGTTTTTCAGCTTTCTTCTCCTCTCCTTGCTGATCTCGAAAGTCTTTCTGGATTTACGAATATCCAGATTAAGATCGTTCTTCTGCTGCTCCAACTGCGTCAGCTTTGCCATCAGCGAGTCGTCATGAACACCTTCAGACTTCCGACGAAGAATCTCATTTATCTTTTCTGTGACCTGTTCCAGCTTGGAAACCAGTTCCTGAGCAGAATCCTCCTGGCTAGTGTCGGCGTCCTCTTTGATGAGCGTGTCGATAAAAACCGGCACTGAATCAGGATGCACCAGTCTTGCATTCCCAGTACGCACAAGTTTGGGCCTGTAAAGCTGGCCTGTTGAACTGTATATCTCACGAAGGCGACCAACTAGCTCGTCGACAGCTGCATTTGACTGTGCACAAACAAGAACCCTGGCCTTTGCCTTCGTCGGGGCAAGTTGATCACGTTCAATCTGCTTTGCATAAGCCATCGCTTGCCAGGAGCTAGCAACCGCTGCATGGTGGCTAAGTCTCTGATTTCCAGAAGTACGGCAAACGTCCTCGTTGCTTTCACGACTATGTAATAGTGCGCTGACAATAGCAACTATAGTTCGGGTCTTTCCTGTACCTGCAAACACACATACGTTACACACAACCAAAAGAAAAACAAAGCTTTACTCACCTGGTGGCCCCTGAATTAGAGAGATTTCGTGCTGATCTTTCCGGCTATCTCCTAAGCTGGCTTTTATAGCTGATAATTGACTCTCGTTGTAATCTTCTTTGAGCTTTCGCCACAGTTTCTCCGGTAGCGGAACAGGTCTACCTGAATGCTGATCAGACGCGGCGGGTGACAGTATAGATTCCAATAATGGCGAAGATGACAGTGCAGAGACGGCCTGAAATTCCCGAACTTGCGGCGTGATGTTCATGAGCCGAGTTATGTGCCATGTACTGCGAATGTGAAGCACGCTCTTTAACTTAAAAAGCTTCTCGTTGTTTGGAGGCAAGAAGAGCTTCGCACTGAAAACATCTTTATCTCGACGATCCACCTGTGTTTGCCGAAAGTGAGAAAAACAATGCAAAAGAGAACACGAAAGTACCTTTCCCAGTAGATGCACGCTTCCTGGGCATTCTAGAAAAGGCTTCTTGCTTATAAGCAGCAAATCGTTCTCAGTGCAAGCTGAAGATGCACCGACTTTTCCAGCTTCTGACTTAAACCGTGCCACGTGAAGGTTGTCAACACGTTCCAAGCTCATAAGATGAACCATCCCCACTTTCTCTGTATCATCTGCGTTGAACTCGTCGCGAGCACGATGAAGTTGTGCTCGAAACTCCTCTATGAGTAGCGGCCGAAAGACTTCCATGTACTGCTCAGCGTTTCTAAAACTCAGGGGAACCTTCACCAGGTCAGGCGGGTCTTCGTTGTCAGCGAACAGGTCCAGACTTAAGATCCGCATAAGCCACTCGTCCATCTTCGGTGGCGGAGGTTTTCCTGGACGACGTTTGTTTCTTGCCAAAATTGAAGGTTTCAGCTGTGCATCGGGTACAGGCATGTCGATCTTCATCAGCTTCCGTCTCTCTTTTGGTGCTGTTGACATTAAAGGTGCACGCTGCTTCTTGGAAACCTCATCCTCACTAACGAGATCATTGAGAAGTTTGCTCATGTCGTCAGCATTTTTCGCTTCAGCTGGTAACACCGGTTCAATCGGCCTTTGCTGCTTCCGCTCAGCAGGGCTAACTTGGTGCACCTGTTGTATAGCCTTAGCTTGCTTCTCCATCTCGACGGGCTTGGTTGGTGGTTCCATAGTCGTAAGGTGCTGCTCAGACATACGCAAGGACAAAGATAGATCATGCTGGCGCAAACGGCTGAACTTTACCTGCGGTTGCGAAGCGAGCTTGTTCAAGTTTTTGCCCAAAAGGTTCCGGATATCCATCTCTCCGTGACTTTGACGAGGCTCATACTGCTTTTGTTTGTTTAAGTCCTCTCTTCTATGCAGAGTTTGGCTTGCCACCTTTCGTACCGCAGGCCTTTTATGTTGACGTCCTGAAGGCCCTGGTTCAGCTTGGACATCGGGCCCCTTCTTAGAAACAAGCGGCTTTGCCTCCTCATCGCTACTGAGAAGTACAACTTCCGCCCCTGCCTTCGTATCGGACTTCAGATTTTCGAGTTCATGCGCATTGGATGAAAACAATAAGAGTAGCCTCTCCCTCTCCTCGTTCTCTAGCACAGAGCCTGGAAACGAAGAAAAATGTCAGAATGTTGGATAGCTTGAGTACAGAAAAATAAAACCTGGTTGTAGTAACTCTTTAATTTCTTTACTCTGAGATACTCCCCCACGAGCTAGATCTTCTAGTATAGATACAAGTGCCTCGATATAACGCCTGCGAATGCTGGGAAAAGGTGTGCTGCTCCATGCAAGAAGACTTCGGAACCAGGAAGGACTGTCCATATTAGAGCTTACATTCCACAGCTTCAGTTCAGCCGACGGTATCGTGTACTTGAAAACTAGTGGAAGCAGATCGAATAAACGAGAGCAACTTGCCTAAGAAAACACATGAACAATATATGTTGTGAAAAGGCCGGATTACCTCGTATCCAGTGACTGGGAGACATTGTTGTCCGTGAATGATGGCGTTTACTAGTGATGGCCACAGCAAAGCAGAGAGCTTCCGAGAAAATACTTGCGAGCCAAAACTAAGAAACCTTGTCCCAAGAAAATAAACGTGTTGTCGCGACGAACAATGTCCATAAGGCTCAACGCTTAACTGCAAAAATTGATCAGGACTCGTGACAAAATCTTACGGAATAAACTTACAAACTTGACAGCATGACTGAATCCGCGAATAATGTAGTCTAGCGCTTCCTCACTTTTGCAAAAGAAATGAATCACAGAATCAAGGCCGTTATCCTTGGACAACTGTTGAAGTATATCTTTGGCCACCATACGCAAATCCTAAAGAGATTAATGAGAAGAAACTCAGACAGGCAACTAGATCTTACCACAGATGAGTTCATTAGCAGCAAAATAAAGCACTCGGCCATCGTCGGCTCCCATTGCCAGTCAACGAAAATTCCATCAGCCCGGAATTTATGTCCAAACGAATCTGTGCATCTACAGACAAATATCAAAAAATTAAAAAGCGTGACAAATTGAGCCTAAATACCTTTTGAAGACATTGCTCAACATCCGGAAATTACTGCTAGCTTTCATGGCATTAAGACATCCTTTACCATCGCTCCCATCATCACACCCCGTCGGAATTTGCCAGTGCAGTGAAGCAGAGAAAGCTGCAGAACCTGTTGTAGCCGCCACACTGACTTCAAAAATGGATAAACGTGAAGCTGCCCAGAGAAAAGCCTTCAAGAGCGAAGATGAAAAAACGGAAGGCGCTGTAGTTTCCAACGCTCCAATCCATACAAGAGGGACGCAGTACCAGTTATCACTTTCTGATTCAACTTGTTGAATGAAGCTCTGCCACGAAAATCCTTCCGCGCCCGCGTCTTCTTCTTTCGACGGCCGTACTTTGCAATACAAAGCGGATAAGGCAGCAGCATCCGCAACGAGTAAAATACCGGTAAGGTTTAGAGCAGATTGACGATATTGCAGAGGTAGCTCAGTGTCCTTAATAGATGCTAGTAACGAAGGACCCCTGCGACGAAGGGACGAAGGTCAAAACGAAGAAATCGAAAGAAAAAAAAAAGGTACCAGAAATGTGCACAATCAAACGGAGGCAAAGGTGGCTCCATCTTGTAACTCCGTGCCACAATATCGAATGCAACCTGTCATTACTTGAGAATGATAAAGTAAGAAAACACGTCGATTTTCGAACCTTTGAGCTAAGTTTCTTGGTCAACGGGCTAAAGTTGCTGCTAAATGGCACTTGTTGAAGAAGAAAATAGAGAAGATACCGCCGTTGCCTTTCATACTGTCCGTCTTGAAGGGCCTCTAAAGACTGAATTTCCCTTGCTATTAAAAAGGTTGGGGGATTTAGAAAGGCAACAGTACCTGTAGGAAGAACTCAAAAATATCAAAAACTTCCTTGTGGATTTTTTCATCTTTAACATGAAAGCACTGGCTGAGAAGAGTGTTCCGCAATACGGAAGGAGTAAAAGAGCTTTTTAGCCACAGTTTCAATCCTGGACACAGAGGTTATCACAAGAACAAAACCACAGAATGTTTGTACCGAGAACTTTCAGGAGTGTTTTAAGGCAGCAGAGGGCGTTCCAGAAAACGGTGCTGCCACTTTCACTCACGTAGTTGAGAACGACACCGAGGAATAATGGATAACGTTCCATGATACCGTCTTCAATCGCGGGTGCTTCGAGGCGATGCAATCTATCTTGACAGAGAGAAATGAATGAAACAGTTAACAATGATCATGAGACAAAGTTCAACTTACATGCTCTTTAGCCCCTGCCACAGAGACTCAAAGGTCACTCCCACGATGGCATTTACAGGTGATGGTGATTCCAGAAACTTCATACGTTTTTCGAGGAGTGGCTGAACAACTTCCAGTTCTTCGGCGTTTTTGAAGGGTTCCAGTGTCGTCGCAAGGTTATAGGCGACTCCTCGTACCACTTGGCTGCTGTGAAATAGTAGCGCACACAAGCCCTGAGAAGAGCGTAAGTTGAAAGAACTAGAAAAAAACACAGTGCCGGATACTCTCACATACCGGATACTTTCTGTCCGTGGCGAATTGGAGCTCGTGAGTGTCGGAGACGTAGCGCATGAACTGGACAAGACCTTCGTTCAGGTCGGAGTCATCGAGAAGCTCAGGATACATAAAAAGCTGCAAAAGAAAGAGTAAGAAAAGAAGAACAGGGACAAAGAATGAAAAGTTCACCTCGTAGAGGAGACATGAAACGCTTCGTTCATCACCGGTCTTAACAGAGCTTTGCATGGACGATATCACTCTCTGCTTGTCAAGTGTCAGCAACACGGCAAGGATCGGCTTGACGACGGCGTCCATGTACTCATTCCGATAGTGTTCTTTCACCTGGTAGTACTGGACGACGCAGCTCGTGCAAACACTGAGCTCGGAAGAAAGCCTCTTCCAGAGCACTTTGATCGAGAGATTTTCATCCGCGCTCTTGAAATATGCGTGAAACGTCTCGAGCAGCGGCATCGCGACGTCCCGGTGATGGCACCAGCAATGACGATCCGCCGGGAGCTTCTTGAGGAACTCAAACGCATCGGCGAACCTGAGGCGATTTCAATGGGGGAGTGAAAGGGGCCGCATTCTTCGACAAAATCACACGCCCTACCAGGATTCCTTGAGGCGCCGGTACCGATCGTCATCCTCCTCCTCCTCGATCGTCTTCCAGCGCTTTAGCAGCTCGGCCTCCCGCGCTCCATCCCCTCCTCTCATAGGACGGATTACTCGAGCCCTAAAACCCTAAAGGTTTAACACGGAGTTTAATTCAATGGCATTTTAAACAAAACCACAGCTTATATCAAACGCGCGCTTCGCGCAGCTAGAAAGCCTTCTGTGAACGCCGTGTTCTTGAACATAACCTGGGAGGAACACTACACTGTTAGCAAGATAGAACGGCATGAAAGGAAAGAAAAAGAACGAACAAGAGATGCTTACCAAGAGATTTTCCAGCTCCGGTTTTACTCTCTTTTCGATCGCCTCCCAAGTCTCCTTGTCCGATTTCTCCAGAGCTTTAGACGCGATTGTGCTCAAGATTAGCGATGATAGAGCCTCTGTACTCGCAAAGTCTGTTCTCCTGGACTCGTCGCCTGGTTTTAAGAACTCGGGAGAATCAAAAACCAAGAGAATTCGAAGAGTTTTGCTCTTACCTCTTACAATCGCAGCAGGCTTTTCTTTTGATTGTGATTCGCTGGACGGTTTTCTCAATTCGCTGCCAGTTCCATCTGCCGCTGTGAAGTCAGTATTGCGAAAACTATGAACTCAGTGTTACTTGGCATCCCTTCCGTTGATGACTCCTTTTTACTTGGAACATAGACGGAAAGATCTGCTTGGTCTTTTCCAGCTTGAAGAGCAGCCTAGAACAAGTATGAAGATCATCACTCCGATTCAAACTCAAGCTCACCTCCAGATCAACGTAGATGGGAGTTTTGCCGATCGATTCTAGGAACTGTTCCAGCGAAGCCCGAGTCACGGCTATAATACAGAAGGACGAGATAGTTCCTGAGATGTAGAGAGAACTTAGGAAAACTTACCGATGCTTAGTTCATCAGAGACAGGAAAGATGAGTCGTGATGAGGTCTCGAACTTTTCATCCAGCAGTAGAACTATAGAGCTGCTCAAAACCAAGTCAGGGGGATTGAAAATCACCATCGCCAAAAAGAGTGTGCAGCCGCTCACACCTTTGCGAGTCAGTGGTGAGAACAAATGGCGAAACAAGCGCTGGAGGAACTCCCAGTAACTCCACAACATTTTCCTCTGGAGCAAATCGAACTCCGCCCTTCCCAACGCCAAGACGAATGCTCAGTGCTTCAAAAGGAAAGAAAAAAAAATCACAGTGAGCACGCAAAAAAACGCGAGCATTTTCTCACCTTTGAGGTCCAAGTTTGTCGACTGCTTGCAAGAGATGAGAAACATTCTACTCTTCTTGTCCTGGAAAATCCCCGCATCAAGGCGACCAAAACTTCATAAAAGAGGACACATACTTTGACAAGGAGATTTTTCGTGCCCGAGTCATTGTTCGCTGCCTAGAAGCATTACCCAGTCGGAATATTGCCACTATATCACAAATGCCACCATACCTTGTCACCGCTCGCTCGAGAGATCTCCTCCAAAGAAATCCCTCGCCCCTGACAATCCAACTCAAGCCCAGCACTGCGGTGAAACCATCACATACCTTGAGGAGCTCCAAAAGCGCCATGGACAATAGGGCTTTTGGAAGAATATTCTCAAGAGTCTTGGAGTAGTTCTTCCTGGATTTCTTGCAAACTTTACTGAGATGCCTGGAAAGGTCAGGTATGTGACAAACTTCAGTTTCTCATGAGAGACCAGTTGGACGATAGCCAAATTGTTTATAGATAGCTAGGGTTAAATACAAATGAAGAGTTGAAATAGATGTTTACTAAGAGCAGCTTTCTCAGTAAACTAGTATGGTCTGCAAACATGCTAAGAAAGTGTTAGATTATCTTGGGATGGATTAGCTTATGCAAAAAATTACTTAGCACTCAACCACATTACATCCTTTACTGATTGGTTAAAAAGGTCATGGTCATGAGGCATTTACATATTATAGATATTAACATTCATGTGGAAAAGATAAATTTAGTTTTTGGTGTTTAACATGAATAAACATAAGGTATTACATTATCATATATATTAGACATTAGTAAAATTCAATATAAAACTGTTTCCATCTATATATCACTAGTTTGACTTTAAAAAACACAAAAGATAAAAATTATAAAAAGATAAACATAAATTTATATATAATCAGAAATTTTTAATTTTTTTTCTATTTCTCATTATTGAACTCAATTAAACTTTTGGAAAGTGATTTTAATAGTAAATAGAAAACAGTGATTTTTGACATATAACTTAAAAATAAACAAACACATGTTTGACATTTAACACTGCTCCAACTTTGGAATCCAGTCAATATTTATTTTTATAAAATATAATATTTTATTCTCATAACAGGAATAGCATTTTTGGATTGAAATAATAACTTAACATACTATCTACTTTTAAATGAAACTTAATATTTAATAAAAATATTTATTTTGAAATTATTATTATTTCTTGGTATGAGAGTTTAATTAGCTTGATATTATAAAACATAAACTAGATTAAATGAGTAAAAATAATTTTTCTTTTTTATTTTGTAAAACTTTTATTATCTAATTTTATACTTGATATATTTAGCCAATATAGCAATCTATAATTAAAATAAAAATTATGTGTAAATTATTTATATCAGAAATATATGTTACAATTTTTAAATTTTGAATTAAGTAAAATATATACCTAAAAGGTAATTTTATACTTTATCTCGGTAAAAAACGCAATTATTTACCATCAATATTTTTAGGGTTCTTCCGAAGGGGTGCCACGATCAGCTGGCAATTCCAAAGATATTACACACTGGATCCTTGTCTGGACGCGCTTCCGCGGGTTCTCCTATTCTCGGATTTGTCTGCGCATGAGGCCTAGATAAACTTGCCGAGCTCGCATTCTTTCCAGGTAAACATTCAAAGATGGTGTTCTTTGCGAGATTTCTAGCTCTAGCATGTCTTGTAGCGATTGCTGTGGCCGATCCAGCGGCACCTCCTCCAGGAAATTAGTATGCATCAATGCTTCCTCATTGCTTCTCTCTATGTTTATGTTGATCGTAGGAGTTTTTCTTCTTTCGAATGCTAAACTTTGTTTCTCTGGGTGGATTCCAGCGCGTACCTCCGGGTGAGAGGCCGTGGCAAGCAGCTCTACGCTTGCAATGCTGCGTCCAAGGCCTGGGAGTTCGACGTTGCTTGGGCGGATTTGTTCTACCCCTCGGACAAAAACTATACGCGGCGAATTGGAGTTCACTATTTCCTCCAGTTTCCAGATGCCAACGGTGGACGACCGTCCTGGTCGCTGTTTAGAAGTCCTGGAGATCCAGACTCTGCGACTCCATCGCTCACAGTCACAGGTACCTTGTCGCTTGTTCTATCTTTTGCTGTGCTTTGTGGTTTTTATATGTTTTTTCTTTCGCTGTTTTCTGCCAGGCAAAGTGCTGGACAAAACTCCATCAGCCGGAAACATCGATGCACTGCTCCTCCAAGTTACTTCTTTCAGTGGACGCACAGGCATTTCTTATATCCAGCGATATCCAGTGAGTGGAGGAGTGGCTCCTGCGGCCAACCTTTGCACCAAAGCGGGAGACACTCTAGCCGTGGACTACGAGAGCGACTACGCCTTCTTCTCCCAGCTCAAGAGGCCTGCCGCTTCGGGTCTTTCAAACGCAACAAGCAACAGTACCAAGGTCGTGGCATCCTACTTTGGCGAGGGATTCCAGCTCTACACTTACGAGAATTCTTCCTGGGTTCTAAAGGGAGCCTCGGCCTCCCTGAGCTCTGTTCCCGGACGAGAGATTGTTGGGAGTCACTATTTCCTTTATCAAGCTGATGCGAGCGGCGGACAGCCGACTTGGACCATCTACTCTCCGACTTACAGTCGTGTGACTGGCAAAGTGACCGAGAAAGTTTCAAGCGACAACTCGAGTGTTCCGGTGCTTCGTCTAGAGAGGACCAGCAGCAGCGGAGAGCCGTAAGTTTTCTATCTGCGAGTTGAGATTCTAAGAGTTTCCACTTTCAGGGAAGGAATAGCGCGTGCAACGAGGATCGAGCGGTTGTCCCCGCGTGGAGGTCTGCCACCCACCAATCCTGGCAAAAATGGTGAAAGATTCAGATCGCCATACACATCAATCTACTGGTTCTATGCGTGAGAGGGCACTTGACAGGTTTCACTGACAGAAGAAATAAGACCTTACTGTGTTGTTCCATTCAATTTTTCTAATCCAAACTTGCGTTTCAGTCACAAAGATGGTGCCGTGCCGAGCTAGCTCGACGAGAACTTCCTCATGGAAGACGAGCTAGAGAGCACGTACGAAGCAGAGACCTCGGGCTCCAGTTGGAGCGTCCTCTCGGCGGCAACCGAGGCCTGCCGCTCGCTCCCCTTGCAAACTTTGTTGCTCGAGTCGAGCAGGATCGTCCAAGGCACGGGACCTGGCTCAAACGGCATGACATCGACGAGCTCCTGCGCTAGCTGAAGCTGCCCCGACCGTCCCAGCAGATCCACCACGCACACAAAGTGATCCACGCTCGGCCTCAAACCAAAGTCCTCCTGCATGCTCTGGAAGAGCTCGAGTCCTCTACTCAGCATTCTGGCATGGCTACAGACCGAGAGCACGCTCACAAACACGATTTCGTCGGCCGCAGCGCCGCCCTCCAACAGCATGAGCTCGAAAGTCCGGATGGCCGCCTGGGACTCGCCAGCTTGAGCGTAAGAAGACCATGGCGTCGTAAGAAGCTACGTCCCTGTGGAGTGGAGGGATTTGCCAGAAGACAGCCTCGGCACTGGGCAGTGATCCACACTTCTTGAACATCTGGACGAGAGCAGTGTGAAGCTTCTGAGAGTGGAGCCTCGCCTGGATGATCTCCTCGTGGACAAGCTTGGCTTCTCCGAGAGAAGTGACCCCATTGATGAGGCTGACGAAGGTGACATGGTTGGCTTCCACGCCTCCCAAGTCCATTCCAGCGAGAGCTTGGATGGCCTCGCGGCAGTGGTGGTTCTCTCCAAAGGCCGTGATCAGTGCAGTCCAGCAAAAAGCGTTGCGGAGGCTCGCTCGGGTTTGATCGAAGACTGTGACGGCGTCCACCAGGCTGCGGCATTTCCCATACATGCTCACCAGCAAGACCTGGATGCGTTGGTTGCGGTCGAGGCCTTGATCGATGATCTCAGCGTGGAGCGCTCGTCCGGTTTCAAGCTCGCCAGCATCAGCGCAGGCTCCCAGGGCTGCGATGAAAGTTATCTCGTTTGGTTTGATCCTCTCGAGCTGCATGGTTTTCAGCAGCTCCAGAGCTCGGCCATTGAGATTAAACACCAAGAGCATCAAGTTCCAAGTGATGATGTTTCGTCTCTTTGCGGGCATGGAATCAAACACTTGCTTTGCACGAAATGCTTCCCTGTTTTGGGCATATGCAGTGATCATAGCAGTCCAAGCCATTTCATCCTTGTCATGGATTACATCAAAGATCTTCCTTGCCTTTTTGACAAGACCATTGTGAGAAAACATTTGTAACATTGTAGTTTGGGCAATTATGTCCTTTTCAGGCATGAGAGCAAACTACTGTTAAATACTTCTTCCTCAATTGAGTTTTATTTCAGCATTCTTATCTAGAGTGGATTTTTTTGGATAATGGTCCCGTATTTATAGTTGAGTTTTGATGTCTCGGTTAAGGATATGCTATACTTTCACAAGTGCTTATCATCCACAGTCAAACAGTTTGGTGAAATGGCTTGTTCAGACATTCAAAAGAATGATCATAAAGTATGTGAATTTTCAGCATTCAGATTGAGATGGTTATTTACTGTTTTTTCGATATGTATATATCACAGGGGTGTAAAGTTTTGTTGATGTTTCACCATATAAATTTTTATATGGTCATGATCCAATATTATCAATGGAGCTGGGTTTACCTTCGCGATTGTCATAAGTTGCCAATACTAGGTCATGGGATTAGTATTTGACAAACATTCTTCCACTTGTCCAAGTAGAATTTACTAAACATTTAGGCCACATACAAATGGGACAACAACGGCATTACCACTCCTATCATTGTCCACCTGCAGAGTATAAAATGGATGACTTGATGTTAATCTGTTTTCCTCATCTTACAGTATGTGGTTTATCTAAGGGGCTCTTTGCTCAGTGGAAATGACCGTATTAAGTGTTGTAGCAAGTTGGACCGCAAGTATATGAGGTTTGGGGTGACGTCCAACAAACTAATCCTCCAGAAATTGTGCATGTGTAGCAGTTAAAATGCTTTATACAAAGGGATCAAGAACAATTAATACCACCTATAGATTCCAATGCTTTCTTTTGATGTTCCTCCAGATCCCCTCCCATTTACAAAAGAACTTTGATAGTTTTCCATTATTTTGAGAGGAGGGGATGATGTGAAGTCCCAAGTGTATGGCTATAATGCCGTATACTAATATTAGTGTAGTGGAATTTTAGTAGCCATCGGATTTGTTTCAATCCAGACCACTCGCTCTTATATATAAGCTAGGGTTTTTGAGTTAATTGATATGTATATTTTTTGTATTCCCTTTCCATATTCCATGCATTCACACATCTATAAAAAATACAAAAAATAAAAACTATAAAAAAATAAATATAAATTTATATATAATCAAAGATTTCTAATTTTTTTCAATATCTCATTATTGAACTCAATTAACCTTTTGGAAAGTGATTTTGATAGTAAATATATAGCTTAAAAATAAACAAGCACATATTTGACATTTAACATTACCCCAATGTAAGCTCCTAAATTTAGACTTCCCGGGAGGTCACCCAGCCCAGTACTATTCAAACCCAAAGACGATTAACCCCAACTATCCTAAAACCCTTAACCGATTGGAAAAGGGGGTGCACTCTTGTTCATGGGCCCTTTCTCTCTATATTTGAACCCCATGGATCGTCTCTCAAGTCGTTCTCTTTGGTTGCTTACACCCAACTTTAGAATCCAGTTAATATTTAGTTTTGTAAAATATAATATTTTATTCTCATAACAAAAATAATATTTTAAGATGTATGGATTACAATAATAGCTTAACATTTTATCTACTTTGAAATGAAAATTAAAAACGTATTAATATTTTTAAAACATTTAATTTAAATTTTTTATTATTTCTTGGTATGAGAATTTAATTATCTTGATATTATAAAACATAAACTAAATTAAATGAGTGAGAATAATTTTTTTTTGTTTTGTAAATGTTTTATAATCTAATTTTATACTTGATATATTTAGCCAATTAGCGATCTATAATTAAAATAAAAATTATGTGTAAATGATTTATGTCAGAAATATGCCATTATGATGTTGAATTAAGTGAAATATATACTAAAGGGTATAATTATACTTTATCTCGGTAAAAATGCAATTATTTACCTTCAATATTTTTAGGGTTCTTCCGAAGGAGTGCCACGATCAGCTGGCAATTCCAACGATATTACACACTGGATCCTTGTCTGGACACGCTTCAACCTCCGCGGGTTCTCCTATTCTCGGATTTGTCTGCGCACGAGGCCTAGATAAACTTGCCGAGCACGCATTCTTTCCAGGTAAACATTCAAAGATGGTGTTCTTTACGAGATTTCTAGCTCTAGCATGTCTTGTAGCGATTGCTGTGGCCGATCCAGCGGCACCTCCTCCAGGAAATTAGTATGCATCAATGTTTCCTCATTGCTTCTCTCTATGTTTATGTTGATCGTAGGAGTTTTTCTTCTTTCGAATGCTAAACTTTGTTTCTCTGGGTGGATTCCAGCGCGTACCTCCGGGTGAGAGGCCGTGGCAAGCAGCTCTACGCTTGCAATGCTGCGTCCAAGGCCTGGGAGTTCGACGTTGCTTGGGCGGATTTGTTCCTCACCTCGGACAAAAACATTACGGGGCGAATTGGAGTCCACTATTTCCTCCAGTTTCCAGATGCCAACGGTGGACGACCGTCCTGGTCGCTGTTTAGAAATCCTGGAGATCCAGACTCTGCGACTCCATCGCTCACAGTCACAGGTACCTTGTCGCTTGTTCTATCTTTTGCTGTGCTTTGTGGTTTTTATATGTTTTTTGTTTCGTGCCAGGCAAAGTGCTGGACAAAACTCCATCAGCCGGAAACATCGATGCACTGCTCCTCCAAGTTACTTCTTTCAGTGGAGCCACAGACAGTTCTTATATCCAGCGATATCCAGTGAGTGGAGGAGTGGCTCCTGCGGCCAACCTTTGCACCAAAGCGGGAGACACTCTAGCCGTGGACTACGAGAGCGAGTACAGATTCTTCTCCCAGCTCAAGAGGCCTGCCGCTTCGGGCCTTTCAAACGCAACAAGCAACAGTACCAAGGTCGTGGCATTCTACTTTGGCGAGGGATTCCAGCTCTACACTTACGAGAATTCTTCCTGGGTTCTAAAGGGAGCCTCGGCCTCCCTGAGCTCTGTTCCCGGAGGAGAGATTGTTGGGAGTCACTATTTCCTTCGTCAAGCTGATGCGAGCGGTGGACAGCCGACTTGGGCCATCCACTCTCCGACTTACAGTCGTGTGACTGGCAAAGTGACCGAGAAAGTTTCAAACGACAACTCGAGTGTTCCGGTGCTTCGTCTAGAGAGGACCAGCAGCTGCGGAGAGCCGTAAGTTTTCTATCTGCGAGTTGAGATTCTAAGAGTTTCCACTTTCAGGGAAGGAATAGCGCGTGCAACGAGGATCGAGCGGTTGTCCCCGCGTGGAGGTCTGCCACCCACCAATCCTGGCAAAAATGGTGAAAGATTCAGATCGCCATACACATCAATCTACTGGTTCTATGCGTGAGAGGGCACTTGACAGGTTTCACTGACAGAAGAAATAAGACCTTACTGTGTTGTTCCATTCGATTTTTCTAATCCAAACTTGCGTTTCACATTCACAAAGATGGTGCCGAGCTAGCTCGACGAGAACTTCCTCATGGAAGACGAGCTAGAGAGCACGTACGAAGCAGAGACCTCGGGCTCCAGTTGGAGCGTCCTCTCGGCGGCAACCGAGGCCTGCCGCTCGCTCCCCTCGCAAACTTTGTTGCTCGAGTCGAGCAGGATCGTCCAAGGCACGGGACCTGGCTCAAACGGCATGACATCGACGAGCTCCTGCGCTAGCTGAAGCTGCCCCGACCGTCCCAGCAGATCCACCACGCACACAAAGTGATCCACGCTCGGCCTCAAACCAAAGTCCTCCTGCATGCTCCGGAACAGCTCGAGTCCTCTACTCAGCATTCCAGCATGGCTACAGACTGAGAGCACGCTCACAAACACGATTTCGTCGGCCGCAGCGCCGCCCTCCAACAGCATGAGCTCGAAAGTCCGGATGGCCGCCTGGGACTCGCCAGCTTGAGCGTAGGCCGAGACCATGGCGTCGTAAGAAGCTACGTCCCTGTGGAGTGGAGGGATTTGCCAGAAGACAGCCTCGGCACTGGGCAATGATCCACACTTCGTGAACATCTGGACGAGAGCAGTGTCAAGCTTCTGAGAGTGGAGCCTCGCCTGGATGATCTCCTCGTGGACAAGCTTGGCTTCTCCCAGTGAAGTGACCCCATTGACGAGGCCGACGAAGGTGACATGGTTGGCTTCCACGCCTTCCAAGTCCATTCCAGCGAGAGCTTGGATGGCCTCGCGGCAGTGGTGGTTCTCTCCAAAGGCCGTGATCATCGCAGTCCAGCAAACAGCGTCGCGGAGGCTCGCTCGGGTTTGATCGAAGACTGTGACAGCGTGCACCAGGCTGCGGCATTTCCCATACATGCTCACCAGCAAGACCTGGATGCGTTGGTTGCGGTCGAGGCCTTGATCGATGATCTCGGGGAGCGCTCGTCCGGTTTCGAGCTAGCCAGCATCAGTGCAGGCTCCCAGCGCTGCGATGAAAGTTATCTCGTTTGGTTTGATCCTCTCGAGCTGCATGGTTTTCAGCAGCTCCAGAGCTCGGCCATTGAGATTAAACACCGAGAGCATCGAGTTCCAAGTGATGATGTTTCGTCTCTTTGCGGGCATGGAATCAAACACTTGCTTTGCACGAAATGCTTCCCCGTTTTGGGCATATGCAGTGATCATAGCAGTCCAAGCCATTTCATCATTGTCAAGGATTACATCAAAGATCTTCCTTGCCTTTTCGACAAGACTGTTGTGAGAAAACGCTTGTAATTATGTCTTTTTTAGGCATGAGAGCAAACTATTGTTAGATACTTTTTCATTAATTGAGTAGTGTTTCAGGATTCTTATCCGGAATGGATTCTTTTGGATAATGGTCTTGTATTTATAGTTGAGGCATTTTATGTTTTGATGTTTCGGTTAGGGATACGCCACACTTTCACAAGTGCTTATCATCTATAGTTAGACGGTTTAGTAAAATAACTTGTTCGGACATTCAAAAGAATGATCGTGAAGTACGTGAACTTTCAGCATTCGGATTAGAATAGTTATTTACCGTATTTTTGGTATGTATATGTCACAGGGGTGTAGAGTTTTGTTGATGCTTCACCATATAAATTTTTATATGGTCATGATCTAATATTATTAATGAAGTTGGGTTTACCTTCACGATTGTCACGAGTTGCCAATGCTAGGTCATAAGATTAATATTTGACAAACATTCTTCCATTTGTCCAAATAGAGTTTACCAAACACTTAGGCTGTATACAAGTGGGACAACAACGACACTATAACTTTTATCATTGTCCACATGCGAAGTATAAAGTGGATGACTTAGTGTTAATTTGTTTTCCCCATCTTATAATATGTGGTTTATCTAAGGGGCTCCTTGCTCAGTGGAAAGGACTGTATCAAGTGTTGTGGCAAGTTGGACCACAAGTATATAAGGTTTGGGATGATGTCCAACAGACTGATCCTCCTGAAATTATGTATGTGCAGCAGTTAAAACGCTTTATACAAAGGGATCAGGAATAATTGATACCACTTACAGATCCACCAATGCCTCCTCCTGACGTTCCTCCAGATCCCCTCCTGTCTACAAAAGAACCTTGATAGTTTTCCATTATTTTGAGAGAAGGGGATTATGTGAGGTCCAAGTGTACAGCTACAATGCCGTATACTAATATTAGCGTAGTGGGATTTTAGTAGCCATTGGATTGGTTTTAATTTAGACCACCTTATATATAAGCTAAGGTTTTTGAGTTAATTGATATGCATATTTTCTGTATTCCCTTTCCATATTCCATGCACTCACATGTCTATATATCACTAATTTGACTTTAAAAAACACAAAAGATAAAAACTATAAAAAAATAAACATAAATTTATATATAATCAGAGATTTCTAATTTTTTTCAATATCTTATTATTGAACTCAATTAACCTTTTGGAAAGTGATTTTGATAGTAAATATATAACTTAAAAATAAACAAGTACATAATTGACATTTAACACTACTCCAACTTTGGAATCCAGTCAATATTTAGTTTTGTAAAATATAATATTTTATTCTCATAACAGAAATAACATTTTAAGATGTATGGATTACAATAATAGCTTAACATTTTATCTACTTTGAAATGAAAATTAAAAACGTATTAATATTTAATAAAAATTGTAATTTGAAATTATTATTATTTTTTGGTATGAGAATTTAATTATCTTGATATTATAAAACATAAACTAAATTAAATGAGTGAGAATAATTTTTTTTTTTTTTGTAAATGTTTTATAATCTAATTTTATACTTGATATATTTAGCCAATATAGCAATCTATAATTAAAATAAAAGTTATGTGTAAATTATTTATATCAGAAATATGCCATTATGATGTTGAATTAAGTGAAATATATACTAAAAGGTATAATTATACTTTATCTCAGTTAAAACGCAATTATTTACCTTCAATATTTTGAGGGTTCTTCCGAAGGAGTGCCAGCTGGCAATTCCAAAGATATTACACACTAGATCCTTGTCTAGACGCGCTTCAATCTTTGTAGATTCTCCTATTCTCGGATTTGTCTGCACATGAGGCCTGGATAAACTTGCCGAGCTCACATTCTTTCCAAGTAAACATTCAAATATGGTGTTCTTTGTGAGATTTCTAGCTCTAGCATGTCTTGTAGCGATTGTTGTGGCCGATACACAATGGAAGGATTGATAAATTGAGTGCAAAAATGGAGGTGTTGGTTCCCCTTGGCTCAATAAGGGTTGTTAGTCAATAATTAATGAGGACATTGACATCTCTGAAAAGGGGGGTGAGTGTAACATATGTGATCATGGGATGAGATTTAGATATATTAACACCGTGGATCCTTGGAACTTTGGGGGATAAATGGGGATAAAATAGCCACTAAGGGCTCTTTCATTAAGCAATTGCCCTTTTTGCAATTGGCTTAAGGGGAGAAAGATAAGGTGTGTTAGTGAGGGGACAAAAGTAATGGAAGTAGAGGTAAAAGTAGAGAGATGAAGAGGTACAGAAATGAAAGGAATGGATGAAATATAAAGAAGTATGAGACAAAAAGGAAAAGCCTCAAAGTCACACTTGGCATGATTATGATGCAACTAATCTATACCAAAGATGAGGTTAAAAGCTTAACTTAGCACCACCCACAATGATTGCAACCCAAGCTCGAGATCGCCCATACGCACAACTAAGTCTGCCTCATCCAGTGCACATGTATGTGTACAGCCATTGCCATAAAGAATGAAAATTAACTCTATGGCACGATGCAAATGTAGACGGCAACGTGTGACAACGGGTCAAGCAATAGAAGATAAACTCAAACCTGTCTCAACTAACATGGAGAGAATAATAAAAGATTGCTTATTATAAAAACAAGCTTAGAAAGTAAACATTGGATGAATTGGTGTCGAGTGAACCCCTTGATAATACTCCCAAAAGAAAGATAAAGGGGTCACTAACTTATTCGTGCAAAGTCCTTCAATTACTCATGCGATTCTTTGTTTTCTGGATGCATCTCGGTGTCTAGACCTTCCACTGCAACAACACTAACAGGACGTTGTTGATGCCAAGATCTCCACCCAAGAAATGGTGGCCGCCAATTTGGAAAACACCGATAACACTAATAAGTGTGATCAACTTCATCACACGCCCAACAACAAATATCACGGCCATGACTACGGCTTTGCCCTTGTCCTTGGACTCGAGCAGCAACAACATCAGCCTCCATTGGAATAGGATCATCACCTATAGGAAGTGGAGTTAAAGGACGTGTAGCGAGAAGTGGAAGAGGATATTTCATAACGTTGTGCCAAGCGAAGAGCATTGTCAAAGGTGGCAGGAGCAAGTGCATGCACAAGTTTGACAAGATTTTGACAAAGTGCTGGCCACAACATTCCTAATTTGATTCGCTCCGACATATTTGGCTTTACATGAAGCAAAAGGCTTCGGAAATGAACGCCAAATTGCATCACCGACTCAGATGGCCTTTGATGAAAACAATGCAATTGTTGGAAGGTATCATCGCAATCGTCAACATATCCGAATGCACGTTTGAAGACGTCCGGAAGAATACTCCAATCCTCACGAGTGACTGTGTTCAAACCATTGTACCATTGTAATGCCGTCCCTTGGAGACACATGGGAAACTCACGCAAACGTTGAGCATCATCCCAAAAATGATATGTGGCAATCACTATAAAGTGATCGAACCAATGGTACACATCATCCCTAGGATTCCTGCAAAAAATTCCACGGTGATAGTATATCCAAATCTCATCCCATGATCACATGCGCTACACTCACCCCCCCTTTTGTGTAGACCAGCTAAAATTCCACGGTGATAGTATATCCAAATCTCATCCCATGATCACGGTGGATACCTTCGTCCGTGGATACTCCACACAAGAGGAAGGACATACGCATGGATGCCCAATACGTACGATTTCAAATTTAGGGGTAGGAATATACCTTGCTCAAGGGTATATTATACTTTTAAGTAACCACTAATCAATGGGAATCGAACCCATGCCATTTACTCCGATACCAACTTGTGAGACACAAAATCCCTGGGCCCCAAAGTGGAGCCGGAAGGGTGCCACGTGGTAGTGGCCGAAGCGAGAGCCAAACGAGCGTAACACGTTTGGACCAAAAGCTCCGACTTGAAAAGTCAAGAGCGGGAGTGGAACTCCCAACGAAGTGCTCGAGGAATGAGCATGAAACGAGCCATAGGCGAGGCTCCAAATAGGGACCCAAAAGGACCAACACATGACACGTGGAAGTGTCTGAGATGGAGTCCGAGGCGGACCCAAAGTGGAGTCCGAGATGGAGTCCAAGATGGACCCGAGATGGAGTCTGAGATGGAGTCCGAGATGGACCCGAGATGGACCCGAGATGGGATCCGAGATGGACCCGAGATGGACCCGAGATGGAGTCCGAGAAGGACCCGAGATGGAGTCCGAGGTGGAGTCCGAGATGGAGTCCGAGATGGACCCGAGATGGAGTCCAAGCTGGAGTCCGAGATGGACCCGCGATGGAGTCCGAGATGGACCCGAGATGGAGTCCAAAGTCGAGACCGGGACCAAGACCGAGACCAGGACCGAGACCGAGACCGAGACCGGGACCGAGACCGAGACCGAGGCCGAGGCCGAGTCCGAGTCCGAGTCCGAATCCGAGTCCGAGTCCGAGTTCGAGTCCGAGTCCGAGTCCGAGTCCGAGTCCGGAGCCTGAGAGGGTGAAAGCCCAAAGCGTTCGTCTCCCAGACCCTGGGGGGTTTGGTGAGCTCCAAAAGTATAGAAGGGGGAGGACTGCAGTGGAGCCAGTTTGGCCAGGAAAGGCCAGTTTGGCCCAGGA